GGGGGGGGGGGGACTTCCTGAAGTTCAGGTTTTGCCTATTTTGACCAACTTGATACCTGGTAGATCAGGACATCAAATACCAACAAGGTAACATCTAATAGGAAGTTTTTACTGACTTATGAATGCCCATTTAGTTAAGATACTTTCGAAATAAGTTCTTTGAAGGAAATATTTGAAAGGTTTGGGAGGTTTTCAACAAACTCATCCAACAATAGACAGCTGAAAGACCTGTATATAAAGAAGGCAGTAAAGATGCATCATACAGAAAGGTTCTTAAAGTTGCCCTATGCAACTGCCTTCACCTGTATTTGGCAGACATGAGACTGATTGACTAGACAATTTTGAGTGAGCTTACTTTATATCATCATAGTTAAAAGAAGTAATTGCAGAAGTGCCCTGACTTGAAGGGATGAAGTATTTGTGTTGAGGGGAATGCCTCACAGGAGAAGACAAGCTGTTGGTAACCACTTCTGTTCCAGGACTGTAAAGAAACCAAGTCACACCCTAACATACAGATAGCTTCTTCTCTTAACAAACTGACAGCTGCCCAGCAGAAGAGCAGTGGTACTTTGAATAAAGTGACAGTACCACTTCCTGATAGCCTCTGTAATGTGGTAACAAGCTATTGCCTGGAGAACAAAATGGAAGACTTGACTTTAGTTAATAGAACAGGAATGAAGAAGAGTAAGGATGGCTCAATGGATGGTGCCCTGTGCAATTAAGAGTAAAATGGTTGTGAATGCACTGAGCAGCAGCTTTGATGTCTAAAATGATGGTCCTATAGTTCACAAAAGTTATAAACTCTCTACAGTGGTGCCTAAAAACATATTGCTAGTACAGTTATCTATCAAAATGTGGATTGATTTATGCCAAGATTTATGCTGGTAAGAGTTTCCTCAGACTACTAGTGTTCACTTATGGGCGGTGTTAATCTGCCAGCATATAGGTAGTTACTGTAAGAATTCATGGTTGCTCATTCCAGGAATGGCAACATGCTGCTTGAATGTGGGAAAGCGGTGTGCAAGAAAGATCAATCACTAAAAGCCCTCCTGAAATGGGAGTTCTGACAATCAGGGCTTTCAGTAATAACGAAGGGTGTATCGTGGTTTTGGTTTTTTTCCAACTAGATGCCACACTGGTATTTTGGGGGGGGGGGAGAAAGAGATCATACAAGAGATCTGAAGTTTTTTATGAAAAAAAATTTATTGCAGAACTCAGTGTTTTGTAACACTTCCAGGAGTTCACTAAATATATTACAGAACAAACTAGCAAATCCTGTTTTGAACACATTAAAGCCTGCTTCTGGGTCTCTTGTGCGTGCACACACTCTCATACGCTCGCCTGCTCTTGCTATTACTGTATGTACAGAAACTGAAACCTCCCTGTGCAGTCAGCTGCACACATTTAATCTGTATTGGAAATCCTCATAAAAAAGAGACAGTAGAACCTCGGTAACCTGCAGAACAGGGAACGTACACACACTCATACAAAGAACCTGCAGCCTCATCCACTTCTAAGCAAAGTGCTGTAGTGAGGTCTCTTATTATTAAGACTTCATTAATTTTATAGTTATTCTACATAACACTTACCAGCATGCTTGAAGTATCATAATTTAAAATTAGCTACACTTAAAAAAATAAATAAGTACATGTTTGTTGCTGTTTTTGTTCTTTAGTTATTCACAAAAAAAAAAATCTAGCAACCTACAATGGGTCTTCCAGTCATTGGTGCAACTTAGCGAGGTTCTGCTGTGTATGATAAAGTGCTGAAGGCATATAAAGGACACAGAGCTGCAGCATGATCATGGTAGTTCTCAGGCAGTGACAAGGAATTGCAATAGCCACTTGTTGCAGGAGTGCCTGTTTCTTTTTGGACATCTAAGACAATTTAAAAAAACCCAAAAGCACCTTCCCAAAAAGAGAATTTACAGATTGTCCCACATTTCTATGGCTGGTAAAATACAGACATGGTAACATAGCGGTTAATGGACAATGGCACTTCCATTTAAACACAGAAATATTTTTCAAGATGTGTGTACTCACAACCAAAACAGACTTTTTTTTGTCCCCCTGAGTTGCTTAGTGGCATAGAGATGCATAAAGGTGGGGCAAGAAAGCTTGTATCACCATGGGCGCATCTACACATCACTGTACAGCAACATTGCTTCATACTAAAGCATGGCGTGGTACGGGTGGTGCATGCTTAGATTTTCCCGCTATGTCACCATAGGGGTACACTATATCCCGGAAGTGTGCCGCTACGGTGACATAGCTGGCAATCACGTGGTTGTTACATTGGTGTAGCGCAACGTACAGTGACATGGCGTATCACTATGTTGTCATAGGGTGACTTGTTGATGCGCCCCTTGAGGAATCAACTAAAAATAAAGTGAATGAACAGGCAGTATATGCCATCTTTAACAATTCCCTTCTCTACATGTAATCAGGCTAAACTGGGAAATGCACAAAGGGCCCAGCTTTGTGCTTGCAAAACTAAATAGTAAAATACTCTATGAGTTCAGTAGGAATAAGAGACTAACAATTGTCTTTGCATTTAAGACCAGTTATTCGATGCCTATGGTAGCTTAAGAAAACATCCATCATATTATAAAGGATGTAAGCTGTTATTTGCAGCCTATAAGGACAAGTGCCTTTGCTGCCTCATGTTAGCTGCAGCAGTTTTTGTTAGTGTGAATTCAGTAGTGCTGCAGGGATTTGTGTGCAGCAGTAATTGAAAGAGTTGCAAAAAGGTTTAGATACTAAACATACAGGACCAGATCCTCAGCTGTTGTAATTCTACCTAGGTCAGAGCTGTCAGTTTACAGTACCTGAGGACCTGAAACCCACAACCTACTGAAAGATGCACTGAATATGCAAGTTGCTATCTAGCAGTTTGTTCTCTCTCTCTTTTTTTCCCCTCAAAGAGCATGGGTTGTGTAAGACTTACCTATTAAAAACAGAGAGCAGTCACTACAACCTAGGCTTAAAACAAAAAAAGACAGAAAGAAATTAAGTTTGTAATAGGCATTGAAAGAATTGGTGTGGAGAGGTAAAATGGCTTTTTTGCTAAGCCACAGGATTATTTTTCCTCTCAAATACAAAATTATTTGACAGCTTTTAACAACCTCCAAATAATTTAAAATAAATACTAGTTTAAATTAAAAGACAATATATCTGATCTAACAGGAAACATTTTCAAGGATGCTTGTGTGGACAAAAAATCCCCCCAACTCTCTCTGCAGCAATAACTGGCCATTTAAAAAAAAAAAAAGTGATAACCTTCAACTTCCCAACATTGACGGAGTTCAAGTTAATTTAAAAAAAAACAAACAACCCCAGAACCCCACCATTAACAATGTCATAAATCAGCTGTTCAGTTTATCCCCTTCCCCACCCCTTGAAACATCCAAAAAAGCAATCTAAAAACTAGAATCCATATTCTTTAGGTAGAAAAGCCCAAAAGTTCAAGTTACGTGTGTTTAGTTACTGTCTCTACTTCAGCATATCTACTTCGATTGAACTGGGATTGCCATTCAAGATGCTTGCAGGCTAACAAAGACTGTGAGCTAGTTAATATAGTTGTATGAGCCATTTTTGACTTTCATAAGGTCCTTATGAAAGTCTTTTACTTGATCAATAGAACCTTTAGGTACTATTAAGAAAGCAGGAATGTGACTTATTTTCACGCTGGACAGAAATATTCTTCCATGGCTTGCAGCACATGGCCATATTTCAAATGGAATCTGCCATTGCTAGATATTAAAAATATATCAAAAGCAATCTTTATTTTTTTAAAAAAGGGGGGTATAAAGAAAATGTTGGTAGCAACTGTTCACACTTAAAACTTTGCATTCCCTTTAGAGTGGAATTTAAAATATGGAGTGGAGCTGACTCCATTTCCCTTCCCAGTCTTGCACAGCATCTAGGAGGTTAAGGAGAACAGCTTTTTTTTTTTTCTTTTAGGCCATGCTTTCAGAGCCTTTTCCTGAATCATCTACTTTCCCAATATCTGTTTCAATAAAGTCATCTGGTAAATTTACTGGAGCTTCTGACGTGTTTTCCTCCAAGTTCAGCTTCTGATTTTGACACAGTCCTGTTTTGCATGGTCTGACAAAGGCCAGGAACACACTACCGAGGATCATGCCAGCAGCACAGGAATAGAAAGCTGACCTGTAGTTCTGCGTTGTGTCCACTAGTACACCTAGGAAGGGAACATTTTACATGAATTAAATGCAAGTGCAAGAGGCATCTCTTTTCCTGTTCCTCTCCTCTGTTAACCCCTTTCCCTCCCTCCATCTCCCTCTTCAAAATGTGTCAGTGCAGGTACCTCTGTATCAGTGTTTTTACATGACAAACTCCAATTTGCAATGCTTTTAGTCAGGAAAAGAAGTTAAACATAACTTGGAGGGGACTAGACAGTGTCTCCCCACAGAAGGTTTACTTGTCTTCCTGTTCTTTCCTTCAGTTACTACTTAGTTGTTTTTTCCCTTTAAAACCACATCAAATATCAGTGTATTACATGTTTAACTGACATCTGCCAGTAGAAGACTTGCTTATTTTGCAAGATGTATAGTGCTAGTAGGCACAAGCAAGTCATTTAGCTGAAGCCTGAAAGGATGCCAATTTTAGCTATTTAACTGGAGCAGGGTAGCACTGCAGTATTTTTGCTTTCCTCTGAGGCTCCTCTATAGAAGCTGCCTTATTTCCAGGACACTGCAAGCTAGATCCCTGCATTGCAGCAGCCTTCCTTTCCAGCTTGGGAGGGCTGCTCAGGATGCCACTTAGCATCTACCCGCTCTGCAGGCTGACAATAGTTCAGAGCCCTAACCACACTGAACTCACTACAGCACAGTTAATGAAGTAAAAAGGCATCAATAATAACAATTGTTATTACAGCTACCAAAAGAAAAAAAAAAGTTACCTGCCAGGGGTGGTCCAGCCAACCCAGATAAGCTCTGAATAAACACATACACTGCTGCTGCAGAAGACATCTTCTCAATGCCAGCTACATCATCTTCGGCTAACAGAGGAATGTGTGTGCCTGCTACGGTCCCAAGCATGAACCCGAAAAAAATGCTACACGTCATCAGTCCCCAGAATTCATAGGCAAACGGGAATGCCAACAGAGCAATGGACAGCAGAATGACACAGATGAGTTCAATGTAAATCTTGCGGATAGGCTTTTTGTTGAGGATCCAGCCAGCACCGATTCTTCCAAAGACTTCAGCAATGGCCATGGCAGATAATATATAGGCTGAACGGTCTTTGTCAATGCCACAGCTGAGACCGAGAGGAATGATGTACAGTGAGGGGGCAAAGAAGCCCAGAGTGGCAAAGAGACCGAAGAGTGCATAACAAATAAAGCTACAGTCTTTCATCACAGAAAAGTCCAGTAGCTGTAGTTTGGTTTTTGGTTCTTCAGGGGAGCTGCTAGCGTCGACAAGCATCTGGACCGTTTCCTTTGGTTCTTCACTTTTCAGCTCCGTTTTGGCATTTCCAGGCACGTTGCGAGGTGAGGTAGTTACTTCTACTCCTGAGTCGAAGGACTCTATTGAGGTGCACGTTTGCTCATTTTCAAGCATGTACTTTGTTTCTGTTTGCTCTTCTACTGGCAATACTTTTGCTACTTCTTGCGCTTTGATTATAATAGGTCGCAGCAGCGATCCACAGATGACAATGTTCAACTGTAGCATACCAACAAATAGGAGACTGTACCTCCAACCAATCTGCTCTTTCAAGGCAGTAATAGCTGGGGAACAAAAATCAGGAGGAGGGGAAACACATTATATAAGCCTGCGATACTGACTGGGAATATTAATATGTAAAAAGAAAAAGTTCCAACTTAAAAGCTTCTGGGTCAGAGTCCACACGGTTCTAGGTATTGCGGTATCTCAGATTCTCCCCCCAAACCTACAATGCCAACTCCCAAAAGAAGCACAAGATAAGTTTCCCCAAGTCTAAGTCAGCCAATATTCAAAGAAGTATGCTAATACTATGCTGCCTAATACTTTACTATCTAGGGGCTGGCCAGCAGTGGTCAGCCTGTTGGTTCCCCCCTGCCCTTCCTCTCTTCTCAGGCAATGAGCTGTTTCAGTTTCCTACAGACAGACTTGCAAGGAATGAGTAGGTGTTTTTTATAGCGAACATATGTGCAAACTCAGTTTTCATTTCCTTTCCTACCTGACCCCACTTTGAAGCCAGCTAAGAGAGGAAGTCTGGTTTCTTTAATCAGTGGTGTACTACTGCTGCTTGGATACAAACTTTTCCTTGGAAAAGAAAGGTTTCTTGAATTGAAAATTAGTAGTTTACATTAGTTGAAGGCAGACCACCACATTAAAACGCTCTCTAAACAGCAAGGGAAAGTTTTCTTTTATTAGCTACTCTGAAGCGTGCTAGTTCTGAAGGATTGGTCTGTACAATGTCGTTTCCCCAGGAACGAGGTCTTGGATTTCATTCAAGATGTACCCTCAAGCTGCAAGTCCACCAACCTTTCAGTGTGAATTCCTTTTACAGCCCATATTTAAACAGCTGCAGTTACTACCTCGTCTTATTTTTAGACTACAAGATCTATTCAGGGAACTACTGGGTTGGTTATCAGTGTAATTCGCCTTGCTACGTTAGCAGCAGCCCCACTTCTTCCATGAGACGGAATGACTCATTTCAGTAGCAGAAGGACAGAGGTCCTCTTACAGACTGACACCATTAGGAGAAGCTTCCAAGGGAAGACCACTCCTAGGGCAGGGGGAGGCACTGGAAGGCTAGGGCTGTGTTTGTTGATGCGTTTCAGGATGTTGCCATGGAGGTGGCTGACCCCTGATGAAAGGGAGATCTGTGCACAAGATGAAGTAGACTAGTTTGTCATTAAATTTCTACTAGCCCCACTCTGCTCCGGTTGAAGAGCACTCATTTCAGTGACTATTTTACTTCTGCAGGAAGTCAAACCACTGTCTTGTCCTCCAAAGAAATAAGAATATGAATGGACTGCTAGGCAGAACATGGACAGTTTACCTGCTTAAGGCATTCTTCCAGAAAAGTAAGTCTTGACCATCTATTTTGCCTCAAAGACCCAGAGTACTGGGTTACTACCTGCTACACTACACAGCAAGTGTCACCTGAATCGGCTGAAAGGAAGATTATAGAACATAATGGCTACATGTATGTTTAAAAATGTGTGAGTCAATGTACCTGGTGCAAAAGAGAAGACAGCAAAACATTCTCCTGTAGATGCCACTGCAGTGACCAGTGAACGTCTTTTTTCAAAATACTGTGACAAAATGGTGACAGTCGGGAGAAAGGAGAGGCAGTATCCCAAGCCTGTGAACAAATGCCAAAAATTGCCATGACAACAACTAAGAAGGAAAGGGACACTGACGTTAGAACACGTTAAAGCCAGTTTTCTTGGTGGTGAGATTACAGTATCAGTTCTGCCAACTCAGCCATTCACCCTAGAAAAGAATCATGGAGGAAACCAGAATGTTAATTTTTTGTCCAGAAAGACAACCAACCCATTAGCTGCTGCTGCTTAACCCTACACAGTTGAGAATATGCAAGTACTTCGCACTTCAAGCCAGACAATCAGTTGACATTCCCCACAATGTGAAGGCAAACTTACTGCCTGTTTACCCTTTGAATGCCTGTGCCAGGTTGGCAATCATTGTTATTCCCACTGTGCAAGTGGGAAATTGAGCTGTGGAGGGATCAGAGGACTTGGCCCTGAAGGCAGAGTACCTTCATCTCCCATGTAACTGACCAACTCATGGAGTGGTAAACATGTCTGTAGGAGTGTTTGGAAGCTTCCAAGATAATCTCTTAAATGACCTTCCTCTGGTCACCAAGGAAGCTTGATGGGGGGTGGGGGGCCCACATCTCTCCAGTGGCTTAACTACAAGGTTATACTTCCTTTTGGAAAGAAAGATTGTTTTAAGAGAGCCTGGAGTCTTCACAGGAAGGCAAAGGGTTGAGGGGATTGCAATACTCACAAAATGTAGATAAAGTGTGTACACCGGGGTGGGCAAAACATTGCCCATGGGCCAAATCTAGCCCACCAGGCCATTCTATCTAGCCCATGGGGCCCTAAAAAGTTTATAAAGTTAATATTTATCTCCTCCTGGCTACATGTCAAAGATGACAGGAGCCAGAGGCAGTAGGACCCAGGGGGAGCCTCAGCAGGAGCCTGCACCCCCAGTCATTTCCTTGCCTCCACTGCCCCAGCACCATATGGCTCCTGGCTGCATTGCTGGACCAGGGAGCACAGGGCCACACCGGTACAGTGTGTGTTTGTTCGTAGGGCAAGTCCCACATGCACACCCCACCATACACATACACCCATACTCCTCCTTGTGTTGCCATACATGCAGGCCCCCATGCCCACACC